GCAAAACAATGGGGATATAGGCTAAAAACAGAATGAATTTATAGATACCTTCAATTTCTCTCCTGGTGAGACCTCCAGGACTCCCAGTGTCAAAAAGAAAAAGAAAAACCTTTTACATAACAGCTGATATTCTCTGGTCCCTGCCCAGTGCTCCCTGCAAAGCCTGGCCAACATCTCTTAAGCTTCCATAGCAGGCTGTTCAGTGAGGATGCACGTCAACTAAATACAAAGGACACATAGAGTGTCTTCTAATTACAAAGAAATAAACTACAGCCAGACTGAGTTTGCAGTTTGTTTAGGGGTTTTGATTTTGTTTTTTAACTAACATTCCTATTAGTCCATCAAGAGGTATGTCTTATAAAGACACACGTCAGAAGTTACAAAAAAGGGCCATTCTGGCAAAGTCAATTCAATCCAATTTCACAAAAACACATTGTGGCGTTTTCCTTCAAAGGAAAACGACCACCAAGGCCATCATTTCTTCACCAAGCCTCCTCCCCTTCACAAAAGATGGGGCCAAGTTTGCCGGAGAAAAGTAAACTTAGGTTCAGAACAATGGTTGGGGCGGGCTGGAACGAAAATCATTTTAGCATTCAAGCTCCTGTTACTCATACAAGCAATCTTCAATACTGAGAAAATATTCACAGATATTTTTGGTATTTCCCCTACTTCCTGGACTAAAAACCAATATACATTTCATTTGTACCACAAATAGATCTAATATTAAGGATTTGGGGAAAAGCAATTTAACAAGGTGCATGACATAGATGGGTAACAAAGTGCCAATTTTTTTACTGAAAAGTGTGTGTGACAGTGTTGGTGCATTTGTTCTTCTGTCTGTGTGTCTGTGTGTGTCTGTGTCTGTGTGTGTGTGTGTGTGTGTGTCTGTGTGTGTTTTTAGAGGGATGTGGAACCGGGCCACAAATACTATGAAGTATGTTACAGAAAATTCGTTCTGTTGGGTTTCCATTTTTTTTTCATGAGAGGACTCACAAGTTTAGAATTTAATGATCTTTGTAATGGGCTGAGTTTTTTTGGGCATTTCCTTAGCTGTTTAGGACATACTGGAGCAACGTGCAGATGGGGAACCCATCTGAGTTAGAACCTTGTCCAGCCACTGCAGGGGGCCATTCAAATGCAGCTCTATCCAGCATGGAGTGCTAGTGACAGTTTGCCGCCTGCAAAACAAACACAAACATTTTAATGTCTCGGGAGGATATGGCCTTTAAACAGAGGTTGCAGTTTCTAGGTCTCTTATTGAAATTTATTGTGAAGAATATGTATGTGAAAATACATATGAAGCAAAAACACCCACTCACACACAAAAAGAACCATTCCTGCATTTAACCACTTGCCTCACATGTGACATCCTCTGTTATCAATAATAAGGACATAAGACACATTCTCAAACCAAAAAAACTAAAATTATGCTTTGACTAAGGCTGGAGAATAAAACAATATCAATATATATCACA